CTGCAGTTCTCGTGGCTATTTCTATGCGCATAATCGTTCATACGTACACGATTAATATATAACTACAATAATGGGTGTAATAATAACTATCGTAATAAATGTAAGACTACGGACGCGCGAGACTGGGTGCACAGTGTAATGTATTCGTACACAACACCGGCGGAGAAAAAAAAACGCGTTGCTCGTAACCGCGCGCATACCTCTGTGTACGTTTATACGCTTTACCCGCGGATACCTGGTGGACATTACGTAGCTGCCACTGCGGCACACGGATCGCGGGCGTCTACGTCCGTCGCCGAGGCGCGGGCGCGCGTGCGTGTCGTAATTTTTTTATTCAAATCAGCTTCGCCCGTACATAATAATATGAAATAATAACGATAATAACCTAACCGTCCGTATCTGGAGCAAAACGCCCGGGGGTGGGCTGAATTCTGAAACCGGCCACCGCGAGACGTGATCTTTCTCTCTCCGGTGCGTACACACACGGAGCAGCGTTGTCCGTTTTACCCTTTCTCTGTCTTCCCGCTGTCACTCCCATACGCCCACCCCGGTTCCTCTGCACCGTCCGCGACGCTCGCCCGCGACGTACGTGCGCGGCGCGCCAAGCGCGAAACGCGCGCGCTCGTAAACGCATACAAAAACGAAGAGTAGAAAAAAAAATCCTGGTCGTAGAACCGTTTCTCTCCCGTGTAAAACGTTAACACGCCAGGGGCGTATTTAGACTTACTTCTAGGGTGGGGGGGGGGGCGACTCAAATTTTTTCTTTAATTCAGGCTCAAAATTTACAAGTAAAATAATTGGTAATATTTATATCAGGTGAATCCTTAATATTTGTAGTTTTTTTTTTTTTTTTTTAATCTAATGCCGGATCCACTTAGAATGGTCTTTTGTGTAGTTTTTTTTTAACGCCTCTCTGTGTTTTGAAAGTTTCGCATGTGTTTTATCTAATTTTTCACCAAGTATGGACTGGTTCTTCAATCAAAATAATATATATTATTTATCGTTATGGGACATAGAAACGTTATAAGCAATTGAGCGTTTAACGATATTAATAATTTAAACGTTATTCAATTTAAGCGTTTAACCGTTATACAAATTTAAACGTTTAAAAAATTTTCCGTTTACCGTTATTGACAATTAAAACATGAAAAATTTAGCGTTTTGCGTTATTTAAATTAGCGTAAAATTTGAAACGTTTTCAAATGTAATAATATTATAAAATAAATCATAATTTTTGTTTCTTAATAAAATACCCATTACTTATATAAAAATTGTCTTGGTCTAAAAATTCTCGGGGGGGAGCGATTGCCTCTATCGCCCCCCCCCCCCCCCCCCATCAAACACGCTACTGTAACACGCGTAAACACGGTATCGCATACGTACGGCGTGTACACGTGTTGTGGTATGCGCGTGTACAAGAGAAAAATGTAGGGCGGCTTTGGCGTCCGATCGCGGATTATTAGATCGCGCGGTAGTGCGTCTGCGGGCATTATAATTAAACGAACGCGAAATCGTTCCGAAAGGTGACGCGCGTTTAAAGGGCGGTTGCGCGGCGCGCACATTTTTTGTTCACGTACGTTACGTACGCGCACGCGTGTTTTTAGAGTGCCGAGTGCTCCGCGTACGTACCACCCGTCGCGGAGGTCAGCCGGAATGTCCCGGAGACTAATTACTTTTCGATAACGGACTAATGGGCGCCGAACGGCCGCGCGGCCGCCTCCGTTCCGTCGCTTACGCGCGCTAGTGTCCGTAAACGTACGACGGTCGGTTTTTTTTTTTTTTTTAATTCATTTTTTTTCAATTCACCGCTCCGAGAAACGTATTGTTGATCGCGGGCACAATTGCATTAATCACGACCGCGTGTTGTTACGCGCTCCGCAGCGGGATCGCACGTCCGCACGAGATCCGTCCCGTCGGCGCGACTAGGGAAGGGGGACTTAGGGACTTAGCCCCCCCTCAATTTTTTTTTTTTGATTGCTTAAAATCTAACGATCACTTAAGCGCGGAGCAGCGAGATGCCTAACCGAACGGTATGTGTATACGACGCGGAGAATTGTTCAAAAGTAAACTGTATAAATATAAAATATTATTATTATTATTATTATTATTAGTTTTCTTTTGGTGATTCCTACGATCCTGCACAGTTAATAATAACATTGTTGTCTAACAAATGTGACGGACGGCGGTGGAATGTTGCGGTGGTGTTATGTCATATTTTACGTAAAACGTACGACACAGAATAAGGTAGGTACACGATGTTCAATAATGTAATACGGTAATATTATTTTACGATTGTTTTTATTTCAATTAATAATTATTGTTCCGTGGTTGCGGCAACGGGTGGTACGGGGGGGGGGGGCGAAGCACCCCATGGCTCACATTGACTAGATTTATTTGTAGGTTTTCAGACCCCCCCCCCTAATATTTTAGACCTAGTCGCGTCAATGATCCGTTCCGTTGTAATATGTCTCGAATGTTTTTCACGTGTTCGTCGGTTTCGCGCGCGCGTACGTAAAACAACGCGCGCGACCGGCCCGATATCGACTCCGCGACGTGCGTCGGCTCGAGAAATTTTCGACCGTCCAACGAACGGGTTGTTTTTATTATTATTTTTATTTATTTTTTTTCTAATTCACTGTACATCGCGCGTCAATCGCGTACGTTCGTTACGCGCGCGAATAGTGTAATACACGGATGCACGTGTTGCCGAATGACATCCGGGGCAATCGAGCGCAAGTACGTTTCACCGTGTGCAAATGCGCAAATGAGTTTGATAGTATTGTGCAGTGGCGCGCACAAGATTTTTTTCGGGGGGGGGGGGTCAAGGTAAAAATGTAACACATTTTACAATCAACAAAATCATTCAAGTCCTTTATATATTTTGATTTGAACAATAGCATTGGTAATAGAATATAATATTCTATCATCAATGATACTAGGTATTCAATACTAGCTCTTCGTATTTCAAACTTGTAAAATTTCTAAATATAAACCTAGACCTCGGAGAAAATTTCGGGGGTTGGGGTATTAATACTCCTTAACCTCTCCCCCCTGCGCGCGCCACTGGTATTGTGATTGTTGTTCGACAGCCAAACGGTGCGCGTATGTATACAACGCACCACGTGTCCACGCGTTTCGCGGTACGGTCACAACTAGACGTTCGGAATTAACATTTACAATTTTTTTTCTTCTGCTCGTTTACGAATCCATTCCATGCCTGCTTTATTAACCCTTCGAACACGATTCGTGCGGCTGTAAGCGAATGATTATTCGTTGGATGAACAATCGTTGTTCGGGTGTACCAGCGAATCGTTCTGCAATCATCGCGGTAGGTCGAACGTTTTGTGCGACTTGTGCGAAATCGTTGTCGTCGGTTTTTTTTGTTAATTTTTTTTATTCCGAGGTATAAGTACACGATTGTAAAACAAAAATACCGCGGTCTATGATTCACAACGGCACCGGTATAAAAGTTTGAACGCGCGTGTGTTTATCCTCTAGGCGCCTCAAGACGTTCGTCCGTCATTCGAAGTTTTAAAACTTTTATTTCCAATTATATCAAGTGTTGTATATAAAATAATAAACGCGTCCGCTTCAACGTTTAATGTAATAATCCAATACAAATAAAGCGATTGTCTAAATGTGTACGAACTGCATTAGAAAGTCGAGAAGTATAAAACTTTAAAATATATATACATACATATATAGAACGTAGTTAACGTTCTATAATCACTTTTAATCCGGAGAAATTTCTCATTAAACTTCTCGATAAGGACACGTGTTTCAAATGAACCGTTTCAACGGACGAAATTACTCCAGAAAATCCAAACATCATGCAATGTGAATGTAATCTGCATCAGAAATTAAAAAGGAAAACAACGATAACTTCCACGTTATACGTTGTACTACATAATTTGTATGAACAGAATAAACAATTTGATTTTACACAAGTAGTTTTTTTGAGTTCTAAATTATTTGATAAGTACATATTTTCTTCTTTAATATTTTTATAATCAGTTGCTTAATATCATTAATCATATTTTTTTAAATAAGGTGTGTTGGGCAAAAAAAACTCTAAAGTTATAATGACTTTTCTAAATCATATTTTCAATTCAGTCATGACGATAACCCATCAATTGAAAGCAACTCTAATTAATATTTGAGAGACGATATATTTGGAATCATATAAATGGAATTACATTATACATTTATATATATATATATATATTATAGTTTCAGACTATTGTCGGCTAGAAAAATTATAATATATTATACAGCGCTCAAGTTCCATGTTAATAATTATATATACTGACGAAGCAATGACAGCTTAACATATATTTATAAATATTATAAGTACGTACAATCGTGTTGCTCATTTCAAATATTTTTAATGTAAAAAAAAAAAAATGAATCGTATGAAAATATACAGGAATCGGTATTTGATAAGACGTTTGGTTTACATTAAATGTACATGGGTAGTTATATCATAAACACTAATGGGTGTTATAACTTGGGTGTTTCTCGAAGACTATTTAATAGCAATCTTAACCGTGTTAATAGAAATCTACGTTTGTTTTTGAGTTTTTCAAGTTGGAAACATTTAAGCAATAACTCTTGGACGGATAAATCTGAATTTATAAATTATCTTTACTGGAAATATTTGCAATAAATATGTCCTCGGAAGACATCTAGTCGCACACTCGTTATAGGTTATATGCGTACATCATTTTTGCATAGTTGACCAATAACAAACTTGTACATAACATAATAGGCATGATGAACACTAAAGATACCGTAAAATATACGTTTATCGTAAGACGTGTATAAGTATATTTATATAATATATAATATTATATTATAATCATATCATAAATAATGCGATTTACTCGATTTTGAATAATTTTATACACATATAAAAAAAAAATTATTACCGAAAAACTATGCAAGTTAAATGTCATTTGTTGCTTAATAAACCTGAATGCCGAGTTATTCCATCGAACCCAACCAAAGAAGATATCATATTATACATAGCATATAATGACCAATACATTATCATATATTGACAAAAAATTTGTTAACAACGTTAACGTTCTAAACATGGGTATGTATATAATTCCTACAAAGTCATGTTCATGTACAATACATGTATATGTACACTAAATTCATGTACACGAGTCTTAGTTACGTTAATTAAGTGCGTCGAACAACTTAAAATTCAATATAACTATTAATTTTATTGTACTAAGTATACTTATATTTAAGAAACTATCGAAAAACAAATAGTTGATTGAAATACTTTATGAACTACGAATTCCCATGCTTTAACTAGTTAAAGTTAGTTTTTGACTGGTGGCTTGCAATCGTAGAAACAAATAGTTGATTAACACATTATAAAGTACGAATTTTCACGTTTTATTTGATTATGAGTGGCTTATAATCGTAATGTTTATTTGCAAATTTGAAAAATAATGTCCACACTTTTTTCAATACATTAACAACATTGTTAAATTTACATCATTTTGTGCATAAATATATAAATATCGACAAAAAGTTGGAATAACCTCATGCGTGTAATAATATTGATTTTCTTTAATAAATACGATTCACCTCCAGAAATTCATCGAGTTATAAAAAATATTTCAATCACAGTAATAAAAATTTATTTTTATTTTTCGTTTAAGAATTAATTTTATCATCGGGTATAGTTAGTTCAAGAGTAGAACTTTAAGGAGAAATAATTTTTCGTGAAATATATGTTAATAAAATAATAATTGTAATTAGAATATTTGTTGAACAAATGAATATATATAAAGAAGATTTTCGAATAAAAAAAAATTAATTATGTTCCCCAGTAAAAGTTTTGCAGATATGACTGAAAGTTACGTAAATTCTCGGTTATCTATAACAATTTTAATAAGTAGAAATATAAAATTTGAAACAGACTGATAATGAGAACCACGTAAATCTTAAGTAAATAACTAACTGATATTAAAGAATGTAGTTAATATTTATTAATTTTACAAACGTTTGATATTATTATATCACATGCTAATTAATTGTACGGAGGAAACGATTTATTTGTTGTATTTTTCTCATTGCCTTATGTTTAAACCGAGCGGACGGATATCCATTGACACGGTGTTATCTAGCGACGAAGTTACGGACAATTCATTTATCGTTTGCAACGTAATGTGCAGTTATAATTACCGTTTCACTTTTGCACAAGTGCATAGTAATAATAACAAATAAATCACGAAATTATAATACATATGTGTATCGTATATTTTTACGGCCACCTCGCATGTTTGCGGAATAAAATATAATAAATGTATTTCTCGAGAAAATAAAGACCAACAATTTTTCCGTGAACGCACGCGGTAATATGTTATTGTCGAAAACGAAAAAAAAAAAAATACACACACCAATTACCGCGTATATTTATTTATTTTTTTTTTTTTTACCATCGGTTACCTCTTCGTCCGGAGTACGCGTTATTATTATTATTGCAGCGCAAGTGTACATAAAATATATTACACTTTAAATGTCGTCGTTGTGGATTAAAAAAAAAAAAAAAACAAAAAAACTTTGTTTTCTTTTCGTGTCCACACGTACATACTCTACTGTACGGTGCGCGCGCGCGCACGCACACACACACGCATGAGTTGGTCCGGCGACCGATACGCGGGCACGAGAGATGCACTTAACCTTAATCGGCCGAAAAAACCACACGACGGAAGACGGAGACCGAGTCTGAGAAAGACGGACCGACGGACGGAGGAGAAGGAAAAAAAAAAAAACGATGCCGACTCGCGACGGACGTTGTCACGAACCTAGAAAATGCGATTTCACACAGACGCACGAAATGTACGCGTACACGCCGTATATAAAAAAAACTCGTTTTTTTTTTTCTTTTCGTCCCGTATTTATTCGTTTCGGGGGCCCCCACAATTTACGACGTCCAACGGGCGAGTAAATAATATATAACGACGACGATCGCGACGATCGCGACGACGACGACGACGACGACGAATGTTAATAATATATCCGTACGTACACGTTTACACACAGTATGGTATACGTGTAAACGGTCGAACACGTGGAAAAAGTATCGACGGAGGATGCGCGGCGGCGGCGTTAATAGTTCCGCGGCTAATGCGCGTCCTGATTTATAGCCGCCGCGATGTCTGCACGGAAATTCGGAGATCAGGTTTTCGCGCGCGCGGCAACGCGTGTAACGTGACGGGCGG